TTTCAATTACCGACAATCTTTTGCTTTATGGTATATCATCAACCGAAAAATTTTGCAGAAATCCACCGAAAACAGATCGACTATACCTGGTAACACTGCCCCACATCCGAATTTGGCTTTAAAAACTTTTGTCATGTAACTTTGGCTGCTCATCAGTATTCACTAGCGTTACCAAAGACACTCGTTATCACTGGTTGCTCTCCTGGGCTATTACTAAAATCCTACATTGGCGTACGTTTTTCAAAGTATAATTTAAAATGCAATCAAGATGGCTGAACCGTTAGAAATTCTTCAGTCTAGAACTGTGTTTTTATCGACAGCTATGATAAAATTGATATTAGTGAGAGAACCACAGTAGACGTTTCAGATGTTACATTAATCTCCGACTATTATTTTATTTGTTAATGCCTTTAGAAATGTATATTTAACACCAACAAGGCGTTGAAGCTTCTCGCTGAAAGCCCTGACATATTTGGTGACAGTAATCAATGCGACGCTCAGAATCCAGTAATACCCTGCTGGGTGGAAGACTGCTGAGGTCATCATGATTCCAAAGAAGGTGGGTTAGATATTTCCTCAGGATTACCGTCCCCTAAGTCTGCTGGCAGCTGCTTCTAAGCTCGCCGAAAAGGTGATTTATCGTCACCTTGAGTATTTTTCGTCAAATCACCATGTGATTCCTGACGTTCAATTCAGTTTTTGGTCCGAGCATAGCACCGAGCTACAGGCAGTCAGGCTGGTGGAACATGTAACCAGAGGGTTCACCCTCAGCATGAGTACTGGCATCTTGCTTTTGGGTGTCTCAAAAGCTTTTGACAAGGTGTGGCACGCGGGCCTCCTTTATAAACTAATCCAAAAGGGTTTTCCTTTTTGGCTTCTAAAATTACTGAAATCCTTCCTTGAAGGAAGGAAGTTTCGGCGGATCAAAATTAACAATGTTTTGTCAACAACACGGCCAGTACAGGCCGGTATTCCTCAGGGTTCGGTCCTAGGACCAATCCTTTATTCGCTTTTTATCCATGATGTCCCTTGCCCCAACAACTGTGAGTCTACCTCTATGCTGACGACACTGCACTCGTCGCCCAGTCGTGTACTGGCGATCTGGTTCACGATGGGTTGCAGAGTGCGGTGGAAGAAGTACTAGAGTGGGCGGAACGGTGGCTGATCAAAATTAATCATTCGAAAACGCAGGCTATTTATTGTACCAAAAAACGTCGCGGCCCCCCAGCAGAGCAATCGGCAATCGTGAACCATGGACAAATTAGGCATGACCTGGCAGAAACATACAGCAGCCTTGAAAACAAAATTCCAAATTGCGTTTCGGCAACTATATCCTTGGTTATGTAGATCCTCTAAATTGAGTTTGATAAACAAAGTTGGCCTATATAAAATAATTATTAGACCAGCCATTACTTATGCATATGCGGCTTGGTGGAGGCACTACACAGAGACCTTACTTGAGGGATTATGTCAAACTTCAGGCGCAGCGACGTTATAGTCAAGCGGAATCGCACAGCAACCCTCTGTTGCGCGACTCAGTGGATTACACAGTGGAGCAAGTTCGTAAACATTCAAGGCCACGTCTCGCACTTTAATCAAAAATTAGCGCGATCTTTTAGTACACTTAAAATTACACTCTAACAAAATTGAATCAAAAATTTTTTTAGTTCACCTCAAAATTAATCCGCGTACCAAGTCAAAAAGCCTAGGTGTCTCATCTTAAACTAAACACTTCTGTTTTTCTTTGCTCTTCTCCATTTTTCTTCTCTTTCCCTTTCTCTTTTTCTTTGACATTGTCTGGTTTCTGTCTGGTTTCTGGGCAACCAGTACCGACAGATTCGACTAACGTACATTTGACGGTGACTAATGAGCAAAGGTCCTAAGGACCGCCCAGACATACAAATGACGAATAGTATTATGTATATTTAAGTTATTTTTGATTTTTCTAGTTTTTCATCAGTTAAATCGAAAATTGTATCACCATGGAATTTATAGTATTTGGGACATTATTGTAGTTTTAAGGTTGCTACAAAACTGAATAGAGACTAATTCTGCGGTTGAAAATGCTCATATTATTACATTTCGTGCACAGTACGGTGTGGCGCCACAGTTCGCTGTAGGTAACTATGCCTCCGAGCCCCGAAGCAGGTTGACGCTGACTTGTCATGGCGCTTTACCAGTTACTGTTCATAATACCAGACGACGCCAGTGTCGCTGTAACCGTAACACGCCTGACAAAATTCTTCAACTATGTTTGTCGTCGCATCGGTAAGCATACTTACCTGGCGTAGGGGTTACCGTGATCAAAAAGGCGGTTCGCCCAGGTTGAGGCCCTTTCATTGCACTACGATTGGGCTGACCCCTGCGATTATCCCTAATGCGGATAACTCGGGCGCGTAATTTTTGGTAGTCGGGACTGCGTACGCGCTGTCCCGGTGTTATAATAATCCAAACATAAATTCGAATTGAATATCGTAAAAACATTAGCAAGCTGAGTAAACATCTAATTGTAATTTCTAATCACTATTCCGTTCAGTACCAATCAGTGTATTAGAAAATACAAATGTTGAACTATGAACTGTCGCCTATCTGTTTAGTGATCACTGATCTATGATTGCAAAAATCTAATCCTAGTTTCCTTTCGCTAGCTAGCTTCAAAAGTAGTACGCTGGCGCTAGCTCTCTGTGCATTTTTGATAAAGCTTAACGCGTGTTGAATGATATTGATTTCCAGTATCTCAGATCCTAATTTGAGAGTTCGAGTATCTCAAAATTTAGGATAGTGAATTTTTTTAATAGTGATAAACATGAGAACATGACCAGAATTGATAATATGTAACGCTTTGCAATTAAAATCAAGTTATGGTTTCGTTTATTGGATTTACAAAATTTCAATACGTTGTAACAAACCCATCATATTTGTGTCTGTTAAATGAAACCACATATGCTTGAAATACTGTTTACTAACATTGTTTTGGCCACCGTACAGTATTTCAAGCATTTTTGTGGCTTTATTTACCGGCGAGACAAACATGAAGGATTATCAGCATGGCAACACAAAAGCCACAAGATAATTTTCAGGTGTTACATTAACATGGTAACTATTAAGAGTTTCATTTATAAGCTTAGAAATATGCATTGTATCACTGTGATTTTTATATGAAGCACTATAATATTCCAGATAGTTTTTGTTTTCGTCCCTACAATCTACAAATGTAGGGCGCGTTCGTGCGTTTATGGCCTCCTTGATTTCGATAATATTACGTTTTCTTCGGTGATGTACATGTATGTCTTGCTTTACCTTTCTAGTCTGCTGTCAATCAGAAGTCAATTGTGACGTTAGGTTGTTTCTTTTTTGACGTTTAAAAATTTCAGACAGATGAATCAAACAATCAAATGCCGAAGGATATTTTCTTGCAAATAGTGTTGATCATTCAATAATAATTTCCTACATTGAACAAATTCGTCAGGCTGTGGTATCTTCAAGTCCCATATCTGGTATTAATGATCTAAAATCAACAATTTACTGCAAATGGATGTGCATTTATATATATTTGCCTAACAGCTTAGAGTTGTAGAGTTGTTCCTTGATACAGCTGGTAAGTTACACAATTTTTAAACATTGCATATTCATATTTATACACTTATCGCATTTTTTTCAGATGTGGTTGTTCTCACAGACTTTATGAGATGTTGGATAAGAAACATTGTATCATAAGTGCAACTGCATTGTTGATGTCGGAGATGGCTGTTCACAAATCACTGTCAGACTTTGGATTGCCTAGTGTTAGGCTACAAGTATGTATAATGTGTAAATGCTCTGAAATTGAGTTTAAACATGCCCTGCCCTATCTGATATTTTTTTATACTAGTGGGAACCTTAACCTAAAAATTTTAGACTATAACTCTAAAAAATATCATTGTTTACATAGCTTGTTTTTTTGTTATGATCTGTAATATCACTTTAAATACTTTATTAAAATTCTGCATATATGTACTATCAAGAGGTATTTTTAATGTACGAATTTTCTTCTGATTTCCACCAGCGACGTTCGTAACGATTTCACTTGCTTATTTTGACAGACAATGTTAGTACTCAACTGGTTTCTCTTAAAATAAAAACTTTTAATTGAAATCCCGTCATTTCTAGGCAAATTTGATTGCTTAATTTTTGTTCACTCCGATGCACGGTATTCGCTTACAAAAATAAAATAACGTTTCTTTGTATGATCTTAATATCGTTCGTATGACAATGTCACTATGCCGCGAAATAGATTGTATTTTTCAGGTGAAAACCGTGCGTCAAACTAAAAGAATTGAATTTTTCATGTCCGACCCACTATTTCCATCCAAAAAATTCTCTGCATGGTGATATTGTCATGTTAACAATATTGTTATGATCATATTTATAAAAACCGTGCACCAGATTGAACAACAAATCATTTCGCAACGATTTTTGCTTCGAAGTGACAGGACATACATGTACGTTAACGAGGAAGACGTAATATTACCGAAATCAAGGAGGCCATAAACGCGCCCTACAATTGTAGGGATTGTAGGGATGACTGACGATACGGGCCTTAACGTCGCGTTCGCGCGTTGTTCCGTTTGTTGTCCCACGACAAAGGGTTCACAAGGCGCGAACATGACTAGGCTCCTCATTCGCTGGTGTTTCAGTTGACTCATAGCGAGTTTTTCTTTTATCGAAGCAGCCGCGCAGGCAGAAGCCTAAATGCCGGGACTGGTTGTGTTTCTTCCACTTCTTTTCATACTCGTCAAGAGCGCGAACTATACTGTGAAGCAGGCGCGAACATCTGCGAGTGTGGAACTTAGGAACAAATCTCGGGATTCGCAAAGCGATTTCACGCCGTGATCCGCGCGGAGAGTTTATCAGAGATAAAAGTGCAACTCTTAAAATTTGTATAACTGTCACTAATATAAACTTATCAACTGTGATACCATTCATACAATTTACGGTTATGTTCATATAATTTTATGTTGTAATAATCATTAGAGCTGTTACCAGAAAATTTATTTTCACATTAGGTAAATAGAAATATCTTACATAAGAATATATATTCTATCCAAATTAAATGTAAACATTTGAAGCAGTTATCCAAAGTTACATATTTCTAGCAATATTTGTTTCCAATGTAAAATTATACTGCTTGAAGTAATTACTGATGTGAAAGTATGATACAATAAATGCAAAATTTAGCAATCTCTGGAATGTAATTTTAAAACAAAGTGGCTTAAAGCAAAGCACCACGTGCTTCACAACCTTAGTCTGAACAATTCTACTAAACAGAGTATGCATCTAGGGACAATGGCTCACATGTGGCGCAAAAACTGTTGCACCCCATTTTAATGTAGTACCTTGTATCACAGTATCATGGAGCCAATAACTACTTATGGGGCTGCGTGCTGACAGCTTACATCAAAAATAGAAAACCAGCAAAAAGCCGTTGAAATGGACTTCCTACGCCAGTCGTGTAGAGTATCTAGGTAGGACCATATCAGTAAGGATATGATCAGAGAAAGGACGTGTGTACAAGATACCATTGTGGATAGAGTGGAAAGAAGACAACTAGTATGGTACGGCCATGTCATGAGGATATTAGAAGATTGGGAAAACAGAAGAGATTGAAGTGCGAGAATCGGTATCTGCTGTACGACGCTATATATATATATACCATGTAACCATTAGAAAACTACTCAACAATGAATTAATTTTCAAAGCATATCATACACCAGAAAGAGTTCCACAAATAAAAATGGAAGTGATTGTCAGTGATTGATACTTAAAACACCTAATCCTAGTTTATATCCTGGCAATGTTATGAAGTAATCACTTAAGAATAGTTTGAACAATGAAACTGTAAATGTACAATTTTGTTGTTGTGGAATATAATTTAGTAATATTGAGTGATATTAATCAAAAATAATGTGGACCTTCTTATAATGCTGTTGTATATACTTGGCATTCTCCTTGGCACACTCTAGATCTTTAGGGTAAAAACCATCCCAAGAAACTCTTCATATTGTATTGTTATAACTCCATCTTGGTCCTTATCACGTTCTCTGAAAGCTGCAGTTAATGTCTGCAAATAAATGCATAGCATTTCAGGGAAATGCAGTCAGAAGTACTGACACTATAATACTGATCAATCTTTTTGTCAGCCATGCCAGACACTTGGCAACAAGGTCGAAAAATCAAAATTGCATGTTACAGACCCACAATGATATAATTTTTTACTTGGCAAGTGATTTGAGATTTGTGGAATTTATACTTACATGCAGCACAACACATAGCTGTATAAAATCATCAAATAATATTGTACCATTTCCATGTCGGTCAAACTTCCTTAATATAATGTTAATAACATTGTCAGACAATCTGTACCCAAATGATGTCAAAGCAGTTTTTAGCTCCTCCCTATTTATATTTCCAGAGTTATCTCTATCAAATGATCTGAAGCAGTTCTGCCAATCTGTGACATATTTCCAGAGGGCCCCAAAATCTTCAAAGCTTACTTGACCCTTGTTGCTACGGTCAAACATACCTACAACAAAAAGCACCAATGGAAATCTTATACGTATTCAATAGAAGCCTCAGATGTCAGGATAGGAACTGGCACAGCTATTATTTAAAAAACTTAAAAAAAAAATTGATGAAAAGTCATCTTGCAGACTAGGTAGTTTTTAGTCTGAAAATAGTTCATACTAGGTTTGCTTCCTCGGACTGCTGTTCATTGACATTTAAGCAACATGTTCAGCTACAAAGGGAGTTCACAACAAGTGCACAACAGCTTGTGCTAAGTTAACATCTCATAGAAAACCTACGAAATGTAAAAAAAAGCGACAAAATGTCACTTTTTAAGAAATGTAATACCCTTGCTGGGCCTTCCAAATAAGTCTGATAGTCAGTTATGCTACAAAGGTTTCACACTCAGGGATAGCCCAGTTCACACCATACACATCTCCATACCACTTTCAGCAAAACAGCAAATTTACCCCCATTTCAGAAAGAATACAAAGAACTGGCTGCAATAAGGAAATGTTTGGTCAAGTGATATCTTTCACCCACCACTGACCTTCATGGATGGTGCCAACACCATTTGCAAATACAACTATGAAATGCTTCTCAAAATGTGACACAAACAAGACATTCTTGCATAAAAAACCCATAGAGAAATTTCATCATATCCCAATTTCCAAGAAATCTTTACTGATGCAGTCAGATTTTGTGATTGGGTATGCAATGATTACTGGAACTACACAATGACTGGTTTTAATAGTATCTATACTGCTGAGTTACAAGCCATTAATGAAGCATTTGATGTTTTCAAGCTGTCTAGGTAATGAATGAGTACTGATCATCACCAATTTGTTGAGTGTAATAAAAAGTTTGAAGAAGATATACCCCAACAATCTGATAGAGACATAAAGGAGAAACTATATAATCTCAGTCAAAAACTCATCATAGTGGATTTTTTTGGTTTCCCTTGCATGTCGGAATTGCTGGAAATGAAGAGGCAGAGGGAGCAGCAGCATTCCTTACACTGCCATCAAAAATACAATTTGGGAACCTTGGCAAAATAGATGGAACGAGAAAACTGATGGCAAGTAATAAAGTATAAAACCAAATGTCAAGACCATACTTTCACCCCCAGTCAACAGAAGGGTGTAGGTGGTCGTCTCTCACCTGAGAATCAGATACACCATCATGACATAACTACCTCTTCACAAAATTAGACCAACTACTGTATGTCACCTGCAACACACCCCTACATGTGAAACACATTCTAGTGAAGTGTCGCAAGTTCTTAGTGCAAAAACTCCTTTATGATGTACTGTCACTAACCTTATAGTGCACTAAGAACAAACCTCAATAACACCATTCAATTCCTTAAAGCAATCAAATATTTATTATCACTTGCAAAATTGTGCTATATTGCACTATAATCTAGTTAATTATTCACCACTGATAACCCTCTGTGGTTGATCACACTGACATCTTGGAGTTGAAACTACTTATCTATTATGGCAAAGAACAAGTAGTTAAATATCAGCAATCAAGTATGCAATAAACTTTTAATTTGATATACTAACCAATCATTAATCTCACAGTCTCAGGATTGAAGGGGGTCCATGTTCCATTGGACAAAGCCAACCCTAGTTCTTCTGCATTAATCCATCCACTCCTATCCTTATCAACTCTGAAAAGTTGTATTTAGTGTCCAATTTAATTCAAATTTTCTTTTTTTCAACTTACTTCTGGAATATATCCCATAAAAATTCTCTACTGGGCACGGAAGAGGTTAACTGACTCATATTTCAGCTTGTATAAAATTCCTGCAACAGGTAGAACAAGCTTTTTGATGCACAACGCAAGTGGAATTCCTTGATTAAAATAAAACGTCTTTGATAACTATTTTATTCGAATGTGACCGTCTCAACCTCCTTGTTCAGACACTAAACATATATACACTAAAAAAATAATAAAACAAAAGTAAGGTTAGGACGTCAAGAGTTTGTCTCATCCTCATATGGTATGTAAAGCGTGTTACAGACGTATTCCCTCTCTGTCAGTCTTGTCCCACGAACGCGATGATTTGCATTCCAAGATTCACCGTGAACTGCAAGAATCAAATTTGTCGTTTCATTATTGCATTTCTATGAATATACATATATGTCTTTTCATCATTTTTTGACGAGTCACAATGAATCTACAGGAATGGCACCAACCTGTTACGAGCTACCGCCGCGTGAAGTATGGTCTAGGCGAGTTGCCTAGTCTGCTAGATTTCAGCTCAATGGAACGGTTTAAAAATTTCGAAAACCTTGAGATTGATCAACAGAAGTTACGCCCATTCTTGCAGGGACAAGCAGTCGTGTCATATTTTCTCCTGCACAAGGCACATGGTGTTTCAATTCCATAATAACAAATGTCTTTCTCTTTGAGTGGTTGAAGCTAAATAAACATTTTCCAGAAACTTTGGCAATATCTGGGCTGCAGACTATTCTATACAGCTATACCTGCGATTTCTTGGTTACTACGTGAAGGAAGATTTAAATGGAAGAAAGGATCACGTCTGACGTCTGTGATTGGCCTTAGACAAGAAACGTCTGTCACTATTGTCAGGAGCAGTTTCCGTGAGTTTATTGTGTTGTGTTATCAGATAATTATAATCAAATCCAAGCGAATAACCAAAATTTCTGTGTTATGTGCCGCGGTTATAATATGGTTCACGATGACACACGGGTTGATGACGTAAGTTACACGAATCGCTTGAACGCGTTGGTTTTAACCGCGGTTTTGTTGCAAGTTGTTTATTTTAGAAAAGCGCGTATATAATCCCTGATTATTTTTATTATCACTTAATAATCGGTGCTTTTTCGTCTACAACTGTATATGGAAAGTTTAAATAAGAAACCTTTCATAATATTCATGGGAGAAATGTTTTTATCAGATTTTTTTTTAATGATGGAACCATGGCTTTGTAGCTATGATAACTTTCAATTCTCTAAAGTTTTCCGCATGTCAAAGAAAACATTTATTGATTCAGCAGAAATGATGAAAAAAGAAATTAGCAAAACCGTATACCGGTGGATATCATCTAGTGAGTTTATATGGCCATATTTTAATATTCTTGTGGTATATGGCTACACAGGATACTTTGCTAAGCATAGGAACTACATTTAAAGTGTCCCCAACAACCGTAATGAGTATAACTAATAATGTGCTCCACTTTATGGTAAAACTGAAGTCAGCCTGTATCATTTTTCTCAAAAATGAAGCTGAAGTACAATAACAATATCCAATACCCGGCAAAATTCTAACTTGTCACATTTCAAATAATAACCAGAAATATAAAACTACTCTTGAGTTGGGTAAATACCACAATTTTGCGGTGATAACTATGACATATAACAGCTGATTCGTGACGTCACGGATCTTATAACCAAACTGATAACTACACTCGCTTGAACGGATTGGTAAATACCAACCCAAAATGGTAAATACCATTTCCATTTGGTTATCCGCTTGAATTTGATTTATGTGTTCTTTGGATACAGCTGTCAACGTGTCAACGACTGTCACGGATTGGAGATAAAATACAAATTTTTATAAATACAACTAGGCAATCAGGCATATAATTTTGAGTTCTATCCAAGGAATAAAAAAACAATACATTTTTAAAGTACGTCCAAGGTTATCAAAAGGAAAATGATCGGCTTTCAAGTATAGTGAAGAGGAATAATATTTGCTTATCGTCAGCAAGTTTGCTACCAATTTAAGGTAGTAGGGTATTCAATACAATGAAGCGTATCGCAGCGAGTTTATTAAAATGTGCTCTTGTGATTTTAATATTTTCTACCTTCACAACCGGCGAAGTAGAACCAAAAGAAGAAGAGGCCAAACCTTCCGAGGTAAAACTATATAACAAACATGATTTATGAAGATATCAATTATATTACTAATTTTTAGATCAGCCTTGCTTCCACACCAGCAACTAAAATTGTAGAAAATGTTAGCTTTTTACATGCATTTGTGGCTAGTCTCAGTGTTATATTGGTTTCTGAGATTGGTGACAAGACATTCTTTATTGCTGCTATAATGGCTATGAGACATCCAAGATTGACTGTTTTTGCTGGAGCCATAACAGCTTTAATAGTGATGACTGTTCTATCAGGTATGTTGTTTCTCTTAAATTCAGGATTCAATAATACAATCTGTGTAAATGTCCATTCTGAAATCCAAGAATTTGTTATTGTAGGACTACATATAAACAAATGACTTGTGCCTGTGTAAAAAAAATTAATGAAATTTTATCCACAATCACACACAAGTTTCTTTGACTAGCCTCATAAACATTATTTGTTCACCGTAAGGTACTCAGGAAATAAATAAAGTGTTGTGCTCAGCATGCTGTATGATATACTTCTCGTTAATGTAACACCTGAAAGTTATCCTGTTGTTTTTTTGCTGATAATTCTCTAAGTTTGTCGGTCTGCTAAATAAAACCACATTATGTTTGAGTTACTGTTTGCTGTCACAACTTGAAAGATTATGATACTCCACTCAAGCTCATGTTTAAGTTGTTTCTGAGATGTTTTAAATTCAAGTTTCTTAATGGCATTTCCTGAAGTTGAGAAATGGTTGGGTACATGGTTATTGTTTACAATTAACAAGAGCTTAACAGAGGTTTGCACTTAATAAAAGCCTTTGTTAGTATTTATACTCATCATTAAGAATATTGGATGAAAGCAGTAATTTATTCTTTTGACACTGAATCACATGAAACTATTAGTTGGATAACCAAATATGATTTCATGTGCAGTCAGTAGCTTTAAAAGATTGTTGTGTAGAATCATCAGGAGTCTGATTATTAATTCCAGTAGAATAACAGCTATTTGTAAGTATTGAAACGTGAACTTCAATTTTCTGTTAAATTGATGGATAAGCATGAATGATATTTCAATATCCCAATAACCAGTGCAACTTTTGTTATGTATAGCCACCTGCCAAATTTATTTCTATCATCTTAATATTCCCCATACAGGGTATCCAAAAATTAAAGGATAATCTTGTGGATGTAAATATATGTTACTTCATGACTTACTACATGGCAAAATTTTGTTTTATCTATATTATATTTATTCTATCTTATATTTATTTATTTTTGTTTTATATTTTATTATGTTTTACAGTTTTCTAGACTTTCAGCATTTACTTTTTTTTTTTCTGTTGTAAAACTGACTTCAGTTAATCCTGTGCCATTTCTACAAATAACAACTTTACCATACCAGGTTTGTTTTCTTACACCCAGAATTGAACAGTCCATCCACCCAGGGTGATTTTTTCTCAAGATAACAAGAAACCTGTATAAAAATTATAGCGAATTCTAAATTTTAAAAACCCTTTCTCACGTGTGACTTTGACACCCTGTAGTTTGAGAGAATCAAGTACAAAATCACTGCATGAATTAGGCGAAAAAGTTTGTTTGTTTCAACAATTGTATTGTTATTCGTACCCTCTTATTTTTTTTTATTGCAGTGCAGATCAAAAAATAAGGAATAAATTTATTAGTGTAATGAGCACCTTTTACTGTGCAACATCTGAAACTCATCCTGTGGTTTTCATGTTAATAATCCGCCATTTTTGTCCAACTAATCAAACCATATATTTAAAATGCCGCTTTATTGTACCACATTTCAGTCCCAAGGGTGACCTTCTTCAAGTACAATTTACAATATATTTTATTTGTCAATCATCTAGGTGACACTTCATTTGTGTTTTCTTTTTATATATAGTTTGAAAGGTCCTGTAATGTGCTGATATTTCTCGAAGCCATCATTCCAATTTTAAGATGGCACCGTGCAAAACCAGAAATGACTTGAAACACCTGGGGTGGGAATTCCCACTTCCAAAAGGACGTCTTATTATTTTTTAATGTACCAGTAACGGTACCCCGTCCATCGACCAGAAAACATCTAAAGTCCTCGGAAAACCCGAAAACCCACCCAGAACTGCTGTAACACACTTAATTGTTGTGCAATGTTTACTAAAATACTGTATGTGCATTTGTTATGGACCTGAAATTCGAGAAATAGTACTTCCACATGTAAAGGGAACCATGCTGTTTATCTTGTGAGGAAATAATATAAGACACAACAGGAGGATAACAATTATAAAAGGAAGGAATTTTGACTTTAGTGTATTTATAAATGATCCTGTAGGACATATTTCACGCATCCTAGATTTCCATATACAATTAATTGCCCATAAAACAGAAACAGAAATGCTAATTTTTTTATTAAGAAATTATGATACTAGGATGGAATTCTGACTGTTCTAAAACGAACCTGTTATTTGTAAAAATGACACGGGATTAACTGAATGTAAGCCATTTTTTAACAAAAAACTTGGATAAAAATCTCGAAAACTATATATGACTTTTGACAAAAAAATTTTGCCATATAGTAGGTTACGGCGTGACCTATCGGTAGTTGTAGGATTATCTTTCAATATCCGGATACCCTGTATACACAAATTACAGTATGGTTCAGAAATGTTTACTACCAGGAACATTTTGCTGTATTTATTGATTATGAAAATATAGGTAAAATGCTTAGGTAAGCTTTTCCCACATTATTTTAATGCTCACACCATAGTGTTATATCTGGAGTCCATATAATCTACATAATATTTTTTTTAAATGTGGGTTTAAGTAAAACGTTTGGTGCATTCACTTGATATAGTATACTGATAGATACTTCCAATTTCTTAGAATTCATAATCATGTGGCGTGGACTTGAAAGATGAATTAACAATGACACAAATAGACTTTTTGTATTTCCTAGAGATTGAAATAATGTAATTATTAAGCAAACCAGTTGAGTTCCAATTATATTTACTATGTTATCTCTGAAATTATTATATTGTGCGATATATGTTATCAGTAGAGTAAAGAGTAAAGAATACATAATTTACTGAATAGACCCAATTTATCTCATATCTATCACGATTTGTGTACGATCGTGTGTGCTGAGAGATGAGTAGCTTATGTTATTAACATAAATGGATTCGGTAAAGGAATCATCTTGGGGAATATAGCTTTTAGCTCGACGTTTAGCACAGCATGAATTGGAGTGTCTGCCTGTCCAGCATTTGTTATTAATTATTCAGTGCCCGCGTGACTTTTAGGATGCTAGCAGGCGCTGAAAGCAAAATAGTAGACATGCAGACACTCGAAAAAGGATAGAAACTTTCCATAATTTTGGCGTAGTTTTAACAGGCAAACATCACTTTTCTTACGGTTTTGGGCTACAGGGACTCGGATTTTCATTTGCTTATGCTTATGAAAAACTTCATCAAAAGAAAAAATAACAGAGAAGGTTGTGTTTTCAAGTGACCACTAAATGATTACTTTAGAATAATAAAACATATACCATGTGTGCAGACAGGCAACACATTCAGTGATATTCCATTTGATACCTATCTATTTTAATTTTTTCGACCCCAAAAAGGCATGAGTCTTGAATGTGTTTTGAAATTTAAGTTTTAAAATTTAGTTTCCCAAATCCCAAATCAGCAACCATTTCGTTTTGAGTTTCGCAAGATCTCGGCCAATTCAACGGACATTTAATGAAAATAGTAGGATTCCAGTTTTATAACCTTTATATGCCTGAGGCGGTATAAAAACATTTTATGACTATATACAGTTAATTAAACAAATATTTATTTCATATTTCATAATGATATTGTGGCAAGAATTAATATTAATCACGATATTGAAATTATGCATAGGATAAACAATTGAATTGGAGGTTGTGTGATAGGATATGGTCAATTATTTGCTTCCTATTCTTATTTTTCTTGTCATAGCTGAATGACATAAAGTATCTTGTCAAAAATACATTTACTTCAAATAAGAATCAGGAATATACTTTGACTTACATATCAAAATGAAGGTTTTGAGCAAAGTGCAGTTTAAAGAAGCCTGTATAGGGTTGTAATTTCATGCTTGATCGATAACATATGTAAAAAGAAGTCGTATGTTGATGCCATATGCTATTACTATTATATAGCGTTTCCATTCTCAACTAGTTATTTTTTATCTATGCCGTACTGTAGGTCCCACAAAACTGCAACTGAAACAGGCAACTGATAACAGATTTGTCAAAAATATATTATCTTTATATTCCCGTCGAATATCGTAATGTACAAAAAATGGCGTCAAGTACATTCATATAGATTTCTTTCCCTCATACGTACAATTTCTAAGCTGAAAATGTCTTCTGAAGCTGCACCATAAGGAAAATATTACATCTTGAAAATTCTAGATACACGAATATTCATTAAGAATCCCTGTTGATGTAAGTATATCTAAAGACGGGTCTTAATGAAAAACTAACACGTGAATTACTTAAAATTTGTACGACCTTGAAGAAATTGTATCTACAGTATGAGAACGATTTGATGTTTGTTTAGTAATTACTCTGTTGCCACTGAATTAATGTTTAAAAAATTTACCAGCATTGTATAATATGACTCCTCAGCATATCCTTCTTCAAATTTCATAAAAATTTTGCAAGTGACAACAATTCGAAATCAGAGAATTCGAATATTTACAATATAATTCAAAAGCCTAATTAGATCAGAATATCTAGAATTTGAGAGAAAAATGTAATATGCTGTTTTACAAGTACAACGAAATTATATTCGTGAGAGTATACGGAAAGGCCCCTCGCCAAGAGGTATAAAATATTTTGCTGGCTAACGTTTTTTTCAAATGACAAAGTTGGAAAAACCCTTTTATATATATTCAAATTAATGAACTATTGGTGTAATTGGCAAAAAAAAATAGTTGGGGATGAAATTACTTTTAAAAGAAGACCTTACACATCTAATTTGGGGTAAAGTTAACATTTTTATCACAGAAATCGTCAATTATTACAGGTAAAGCAATAACCAAAAGTTGGTGCTCTACATCGAGAAAAAAAAACAATTAAAAAAGTCTCAACCGATTCTGCAATTTTCTGTTACAATTTTTTTTCAGAAAATGGCCTTTTTGACATGCTGTCCAGCGATTTTGGATTAATCAAATCGCCTCACATTGGGTTTATACTTTTGCTAAAGATTTCTTTTATTTTATTAAACGAGATACTAGTTTTTTTGTTATACTGACCATTTAAAAAAGCGTCGCCTGGAGTACATCAATTTTTGCCTTATGATCAATTATAATAAGCCCTTTGTTTTTTACATTGATAATTAGGATGCACACCTCTGCAAAGCTGATGGAAAATTCACACTTTGACGAAAAAAGGACTTTTAAAGCCTTTTTTTCAAAGAAGCCACCGTAAGGTTAGTCATCAGCATTAAGGGTCGCAATTAAACCTACGTATACAAAAATATTTGTAGTTAATTAAACTGCCTGTTTAAAACTATGTAGTTCCATATTACGACTACATACACCTTACAAATGTGATGTATTCCACAACAGTTTCAAATGAGGTCTTTGTTTTTCGGAGTCGTTGGTTATGTTTGATTTTATTATGCAAAATACTTTTTTCAGAATTTTCTATTCAAATTTATTTTGTAATATAAGTATTTCATGAAATCTGAATTCATCACCTACAATTACAGTGCTATAAAAGTAATTCTATTTTATTTACAAAAAAAAAATTAAAGAAATTCTATCTTCCGTATATTGTTGTATAAATAGACTTGGGCAAAGAGGCACGATAGACTTAACGACTGATAGCTCGTGCATGTGAATGAACACAAGTTCGAAACATCGGTTGACCTGTGCAGTAGAGTCTGCCTAGAGAGAGATAAAGAGATAAAGTTTGAATTTTTCATCGTATTTTCAGAAGTGGGAACCTTAATTATGGCTGTTAACCTTCCTATACCCGCGCACATTTTTGTAACACCTATGAGCACGTTGTCACAGACCGAATGTTTTATACTGGTATTTTCATACATCAAAACCTGTATAAATAACAGCAACACAAGCGTCTTGCACAAAAGTACACTAAAGCGAAGAGTCAGCAACAAATCAGGTAGTTAGCAGAAATATCGATTCGCTAACGTTTCTAGGAAAATAATAATACTTGAGTGTTTCGTCGATCTTAGAGACCAATGCGCGGGTATAGGAAGGCTAAAAAACAACGGACTTGATAAAATTGTTTATAAGGCAAAAATTGATGTATCATTGGCGACGTTTTTTTACATAGTTTGTATAAGAAAATCTGGTATCTATTTCCTTGCGATATTAAACTAAGCCTCTAGCAAGAGAATGAGCCCAATATGATGATGATGATGATCAATCCAAAGCCGCAGGTTGGTTCGTCAAAAAAGGCCATTTTTCTGAAAGAAAAATACCGAAACGGTTAAGCATTCGTGAATGAGATTTTTTATGGATGTTGAGCATCACAAAGGCTCCGACCTTAAGCTATTATTTCAGATTTACCTTTATGCATATGCATTTTCCAGTATAAAATAATTGTAGAAATAGACGATCTCTGGCGTTTTTTTTTTAATACGAAATGTAGGTTACGAACGAGATATGATAATAGCAATATAACGATAAACGTGAAAACCACAAATCCATTGAAGTACCACCCTGTACCATTTCATTTTTACTAAAAGGGCAGTACGTGAATAATTCGATATGGGCAACAATGTCAGGAGAATATTAAAGCCACTTACTTGGTGACGGAACGGCAACGATTTATCCTCCTTTGGCAAGCGATAAGGGCGATACGATCGGATCGTCTTGGCCAATATCTACTTATAGAAAAATGACTTGAGTACCGACCATATTCAACCGACTCCGCAGTGGTACCAATTCATCATTATTTACTTTTGTTTTATCATATACTGGTCCGCAGACTCTAAGAACGGGGGCACCCCCCTGGGACATACAGTCCTGGGACACACAGTCCTCCACTTAGGCAATTTTAAGCACACAGCAGCCTATGTGATCAATATAGTTTTAAGCACATAGCACCCTATGTGATATCCAGGCGTATAGACAGATATGCTGAGTTTAACGATTGTTACTAAAAATATAGTCCAGGCACCGGGATATCACGTTAGCCAACGTGTCAATACCTTAAAGCTCCGATGTTACCCCTGAATCAGAGATAACCGAGCAAGATGACCATCATCAAAGTACATACAGTCAGATGCCAGCAATTTCCAAAAGAAGATGGTTAAGCGGTCAGTCAGACCACTTTGGCTAATGGCCACCGTGTCAACATCCCAAGCGCTCCGACGTTTCCGATGATAGAGGAAACCGAGCAGTAATTAACATAACCACCTAAACCCAGGGGTCCGGTACCGAAAGTCCCACAACAACCCCCAGAGACTGGAGGCGTCACCCCTGTATGAGCCACCTAATTTCCCTATCCTTATCCGCAATTATTTTCGTAAGCCAATGATAGAAATATGTATATATGATCCAAGCAGCTCTATAGATATAGATATATGATCAGAGCCTCGTTATAATTATGGATATATAATCAAAGCATCTTTGTAAATATGAATATGCTCAAAGTATGTTTATAACTAGGGCTATACGATCAAAGCTTCTATATAAATATGGCTTACGACATTCATGATCATAAATATAAAAGTGTTATAGTTATCAATCCATGCAGTACAGCGGAATAAAGGAAATACTCAGTGATTGCTCACCTTTCAGGTAACCAAAACCCTACATCCAATAGCACTTCAACACTGTAATCAAGTCCACAAAGGGCACTACTTGGTCTGAAATGTGATCTCCTGCAAGCAATAATTGAACTGCGTATCGCCAGCCACGCTAGTATATTTAAGAAAGTTTATCCTGGGAACAAGTACCCAGAGAAGGAATGGAATATATAATATAAACAGGCGTAAGGGCCATAGCGCTGAGTGACACTAAGCAGCCTTGTGAACCTACTGGAAAGGTTTTGTGTGCTACAGGGTTGGACTCGCATGCAAAAAATGTGATTGAGATATTTCGAAAGCTTACACAAATTAACAGTTACGGCAAATCAGTCGTATAAGGCCTCAATTTCATCCACTACCATTTTTTTGTCCAATAATTCATAACTATGTGAATAAATGCAGAAAGTGATTTGTCAAATCTGGCGTTTGATAAAAAAAAGTTAGCTAGCAATGTTTTTGTAATTCTCGATGAGGAAGTCTTGTCATATACCCTCAAGAAGACAATTCCCTTGGTAAACAGGGTTGATATTTGGTTAGTCAGCTTGGTCCAAATGATGAACATAAAAATTTCAGCTTTGCGCAAATAAGCACTTGCTCTTTTGCTCTTCTTTGAAATCGACGATAAATGCTTTCCCGTTGATAACGATATTTTTTGCAGCCGTATTTGGATGGTTAGTAAATGTGATTCCTCGGGCCTACACATATTACATAAGTACGGCGCTCTTTGCATTATTTGGCTTGAAAATGTTGAAGGAGGGCTGCCAGATGTCAAGCACAGAGGGACAAGAAGAGTTGGAGCAAGTGCAAACTGAAATTAGACAAAGAGAAGAGGAGGTTCGTGAATCAGATGTCATAGGCGAAACTGTAGATAATTTTCTAATTTAATTTTCAGCGAGAAAGAGAAGGTGCACCTGATGTAGAAACAGGCAGTACAAGAAAACCGAAAAAATCAGTATGGTATGAAGTTTCTAGGGTAATACTGCAAGCGTTCACGTTAACGTTTTTAGCGGAGTGGGGAGATCGGTCGCAGCTTACAACTATTATTTTAGGAGCTAGAGAGGTAAGATGATTCAACAAATTATCCATCATATGATTGCTTAAAAAACAAAAAATACTTTTATCAGCCTTACCTTTCTTCATTGTTTTATTAAAAAATAATGTTTGATATCTATTTCAGAACGTGTATGGTGTCATATTAGGTGGTATTTTGGGCCATTCTGCATGTACGGGTGTGGCTGTGTTAGGCGGCAGAATGATAGCTCAAAAAATATCCGTAAGAACAGGTGAGTTTCGACAACTCCAATTTTAAGGTAACACTGATATCTTATCATGCTGATAGGACTCCATGATTGTCTCGTCGATAAACGACACCCCATATGTTTGAATTACCTTTAACTGATGCTGTTTTGGTCGCACAGTGTCTTTTTTAAGTACAACTGATAATAATATATTTTATTGTATCTGTCGTCCAGATGACAGTTAATAAGAGTAATAATAATAATAATAATAATAATCGTCTTTGTTTATTTGGTTTTTCTTTTCTTCGCCCCCATAAAATGTGTTGCGACACAGCTTGAATCAACTGTCACTTGAAAGACATACAACACAATTTATTTTTATTGCCAATTGGACTTGAAAAAGGCCACCCCGGTGGCCGAAACGTCGTCAGCTAAAAACAATTCATGCATATGTGGTTTCGCGGCCAGAAAATAATCGGGTCCAACCTTAATTTTCATACTTCGATCAATTTTGAGTTCCCAAAATATTGAGAGCGTATAGAAACATACTTTTTAAACTACTTAAAATTCATTTAAACTACATATACGATGGCCATTTTTAAAGTTAGAAGAACAGATTGCGCATTGTGGCACGTGACGTCCATTTAACCTCAGACACTGTTGGTCATTCTCCAGTGAGAGGTGCCGCCATTACGTTTCACTTCTCTGTGGCTGTAGGTTGTGTGATTATATTGCTTTGTTTGTCGCCATATCAAACAGGAAACGTGCTGATTGTGAAGTACGCTCAGCCTTTCAGTTTTTAAACGCAAAAAGTTCCTCCTGCTAAAATTCACCAGTTCACTACAATGCTCGGCCTCACGCTGTGACAAGAACATTGACGCAACTGGGCAAGTTTCTTTAGGAATTACTGGATCATCCTCCATACTGCCCTGATTTAGCACCATCAGTCTCCCATATTTTTCCAAAACCTAATGAATTTTTCAGAAGTGGTTGGAAAATGACATGTTAAAAGAAACAGTTACTAACTGGCTTAACGGTCCGACGGCAGGGTTCTTTGACGGGATACAAAAGCTGGAGCCACGACTTGACAAATGTTTAAATGTTTATGTTGACTAAAACCTTTTAGTTTGTGACACAATTTAGATATTTAAAAGTTTGACTGACTACATTTCAAAACGGTTCTTACTTAAAAGTGACCATCGTAAATTCAGTTCTGTGCCTCTACTTTGAACCTACATATTTTTGGGAATTGCTGTTGCTTATTTAGTGCAGTTGCTTGAATTCAGTATACTTTCATATTAACGTGTGATTTTATTTGCAGTGACAATCATCGGAGGTATAGTGTTTCTGATATTTGCCGTTTCGGCGCTGTTCTTCGATCCAAATGCAACGTAAACCGTAAGGAGTATTATAATTTGGAGTCATTGTTTTCCAAAACGAAACCATCTTTTTATCAATAAGAATATTACGTACTTATCACACAGGATTCATAACGCTTGTTTACATTGTCAAAATATGTATATGCACTACATGGAATGTCCCAAATGACATTGCATGGCATGCTGATATAAAGTTGCCATTAGGTAAAAAGGACTTTCCTCGATTTCAAAATAACTGATATTGCTTTCGTGCGATATTTTAGTTTCTACAGTTGTAATTGTTGTTATGAAATATGATTTGTTCAATTTAAACGTATCTGACATGTAAAGGTCATTTTGACTAATGTGCAGCAGATATTATTAAACGCATGACTTTCCGACCGACACTGAATTTCCAGCCGAAACCAAATCACCGGTTTCTGTCTTAGTTCCGTCTGAATCCAAAGCCGAACATTTTTTAGACACGAAAACACAACACCCAGGATTTTTAAGATTCACAGATACCCTAGTAAATGGTGTTCTATAATGGATGAAAATTTGATTCCTTCCATAGGTAGGAACTGGCATTTTTTTGCAAAACTGACTTGTTTTTTTGCGTTACGGCCCTGAAAATATATGTAGAAAAACGTTAAAACAATGCTGTAGCTCTCTAGTTTTTTGAGCCATTTACCAAGATCTATTGTGAATGAAAATTACTAAAGATGTAAAGAAAAGGCGGAATTATAAAAATCATCATAGTGAAAAACTCTTGTAGATTTTTATTTGGCATTTGTTGTACTGGAGAGCAAAAATGACTACTTTCTAGAAAGTTCGTCTTTTTTTAGTCATTAGTTTCAAACAAACCTTCTTGAAATTATTCGACCATATCTTGAAGAGAAGTGAATATAAAAACTCATAATAACAGCATAAGGAGCTGAAATTATACTTCATTGAAGGTACTAAACAGTTTTTCTTACACGTTATTTCATTTAAATGGTATTTATATTTCGTGGTCAAGTACAAAAAATGCGAATATTTTTTTAAAAACCGTAAAACTGTTTTCATTTGTGAATATACTTAATAATAGTTTGTGAAAATATTGAGCCTGCTCAGATTGTATGTGTCGCACATGTAAAAATAAACAATCACGCAGAAAAGACATCCGAATTGGAGTCAAACACGTGTAACGCTATTTCCTCGGGGTCACTGACTGGCGAACTACCTGCCTTTCTAGTTCAGCAACTCCTCGGGCGCAAGCCTCCTGTTTAGAGTGTGGAAACAACACTATAGACTGAAACAGTCACCTGGGCAGCTTCAGTGAAGAAAATAATTGAGGGATTTGATGCCTCATGCTCAAATGGTCAGACTCGAGATACTTACTCTTTCTACTTCTACTACTTCTCTTTTTGTATCTCTTACTTCAGCTAGGACGGTATTTGTGATTAAAGCAAGACTTATAACACAACCTGGTATATTAACAGCAAATATCTCAAGTTATATGTACAAATGAGAGAAATCCCTATCTGAATCTAGCTAACCTAGCGATAGAGCGGAGAAGGAAGACAATCGGTTAACTCGGGATCGAACGGAATCAAAAGCAACGGTTAAAGCGGAAGCAGTATGCGGTCAAGCTAGCAAGCGGTAATGGTGCGATGCGATAAGCCCAAAGCGATGAACGGTTTTCAGCAATATGGATATGTTTGGGTGAAGAATAAGACCAGGCATTTAGTTAACCCGCGTCTACTTCAAGCTCTGTTTGTCTCGTTCTCGCTTGGATTTCACCCCAGGAAAGTAAGCACACTGCAGACAAAGATGTGCCTCCCTGACTTGCTTCTTGAACCCCAAAGCAATTATAAAACTCCTAAAATCAAGACGCGTACTATCGCTAATGGACCTTTAAACTAAACTAATAGTTCCCAGATGAATGTGTTTACCAAACCTTAAAAAAACTAATATCGAAGACGCAACATTTTGTGACACAATGTCTCAACCTATAAAACACTTTTGTATATTTGGGACTTTTCTGGGATATAATGAGCACAATTAGATATGAAGGGTTTCCAGCAAAAACCGCATTTGTCAAAAATTAGCATTTTACAGAAAACTAAAAAAACCTGTTATCTTCTTAGATGTTAATTATTTCAAAAGGCGGTTCCTGGATGGGTTGTAGATTAAAATGCATAATAAAACAATGCATGATGAAATAAATTTAAAAACGTTTTAACATCATAAATTAGATTTTTTTGTTTGACAAGTGCTGTTTTTGCAAGAAAATGAAAATGAACTTACAAAGAAAACATACTTTATTGAAATATGATGACAAAGTTCGCTTAAATAATAATCATTCGATGTTAAATATAAACTTAAACATATTCTAAATACGGGAACATCATTTTTTCTACTCGTCACACCCACTGCTGTTATCTTCGGGATCGATGTCGCTTAATTCAGCAATGTTTGATTCTGTTGGTTGTAGGGCATTATAGAAGCCGGTATGTTCTCTTTTACTCAGTACCTTGCTGAGAGTCTGTAGGTCTTTTAGTTTTAATGGATTAATGGCTAAAGGTTCTCGATATAACTGAACAAGTTGAAGTTCATTGGATAGAGGTATTTTATTTCGAAGTATGGATTGTCTCCATGGTCCACTATAACTGTCCCTTATTTCCAAAAACTTGTTTTTCGCCTGAATGCGATACATTCTTAACGATTTCAGCTTAATTGGAGGTCGAGGGTTCTTAAGAAAATATTTATCTGTGGATAATTTTACGTTAAAAAAGTGTTTTTGTTGTACCTTAATCAGATTAAATGGAGACGGATTGCTCCTGCAAGTCTGTATGATAGTATCCCAATGCTCGGGAATCTCTGCTACTTCAACCGCTTTTCGTTTTGAGATAATTGAAAAGTCTTGATTGTTGGGCAGAAATGAATGGCCACGTATCGGAAAAATATAGGTAATATTGTCAAACAACTTCAAACAGTGGACTAATAAATACATAAAATGCATCATAACATAATTTTTATTTTGTCCCGGGCAACCATCACTTATTAATACCAAGTTTCGAGAAGTGATGTCAGGAACCTGTGTAAAATAATGAAAAAGTAATGAAGTAACTTCATTTTGACCTTTTTTTGCTATTGTTTCATCGTAGGTGTACATTGTTGCACTATCATCTTTAAGATTATGGACGCCAAAAACGTAATACCAAAGCTGACGGCATCTGAACGCTAAGTTGTCCCTAATATGCGGTAAAGGTAAATTTTGCATAAAGTCGAAACAAACAACCATTGCCTCTCCATTTCTAGCCTTTTCTTGCCACTTTTTCTTCAAATCATAGAATGCTTTTGCTTTTCTCAAATGAAGCTCCTTTTCCGCTAGTAGGGGAGCTCTTGATTCGTCATTTTCTGCTGCAGCAATTTTTTGAATCAGAGAGTCGCAAGTTGAGCATGTATCAGTTCTCGGCATTCCAAATTTTATATTAAATTTCTTATGAAAAACTGTCCAATAAGCTTTATAGCTGACATTAATATGATAATCTTTTAAAAATGATCTGTACAATGCCCGAACACTTAGGGTCTCAGGGAGATAGTAACGATTTGGATTTTGCCTTAATGAATAATGAGATTGTCGAGGTCTGTATGATTTAATGTGATCTTCAACTAAATTTTGCAATTCACAAGGTAAGGCATTGGGTCTATTATCATGTTTACCGCGCCTGTCACAGGGTGATTTTGCTGTTTTACTTAGATGTTCCTGTATGCGTCTAAGACGCGCACAACTGATTCCGTGGAGACTAAGAAAAGCCTTCCTACATACGGGCACTTCTTTATAACAATCCCCAGATTGCTTTGTTCGAACTTTAAAAGCATAAGAACTTGAATGTTCATAATTTGGTAAAGTGATGTCTTCGTCTGAGTCGGAATAATCAACGAGATCGTTATTTCTTGCAGGTTTTCGCGACCGTCGTTGCTTTACTGCTTGTAATGTAATAAGGCCAGACAGATGTGAATCTTGTAAGTCTTTTGTAGGAATATTATAAAAACTTTCGAAAATTTCTTGTCTTTGCTCTGGCAGCACCGCATTGAAGCATTTGTGACGAACACACCTACGAGCGATGTAGAGGTTAGAAGGAATAAACAAGAGAAACAGCGTGAAAAACTTACTTGCAATCCTCACCAATTTGCTTTTCCGGAACAAAAACGCCTTTATGGTTTAAGTGAGCAGCACCTTTAACTTTTTTTAGACGTATTAACTCTCTTTTCTTCAGTTGTTTTGCTCTAATTGTCGGTACAACACTTTGCGACGCGTCCATGTTTTAAACACTGTAACGAATCTTTAATTTCCTGCGAAAACAACACAGGTCAAGACAAGTGCGGTTTTTGCCGAACGATCCATGCTTTATCTGTATGAATAAGGCTGACAATTGCTGTTTTTGCTGGAAATATTTTTTAGATAACACACTAGGATTATTCTTGATACAATGTTGCCAATATCTCAAAAGTGGACAAATTTGACAAATGCGGTTTTTGCTGGAAACCCTTCATATTTGTACCTATCTTTCTATAGTTCTGGGACCCTCAGAGACGTAAAAATATATTATATATAATTTGCAAGGCCAACCAAAAAGAAAATCACCTTTTGTTTCGGCTTTCAGTTTCCTGAAATAGAACTTCACTGCGTGATTGACATTAGGGTTAAGTCAGTACATATTCCAGACAGTCGCCAGGTGTACCGAGGTTCCACTAGTCACTTCCGAGAACTCGGTGTCTAACTTATGTGGGAGTCGGGAATACCTAGTTCAATCGGGGATATCCTGAGTCACTTCCGAGAACTCGGTGTCTAACTTGCGATGGAGGGGGTCGTACTCGGAGAAATTGATAATACTACCTGGTAGATGCGGTCGGGTATGTCGAATCGCTAGTCGGATGTACGAGTATAAATATGTGCAAATAATCTTCAATAAAAGCGCTTTTGTATATAATGGAAGTCCCAGAGTACCGCAACACTGGCGCACAGAATCCTCCTACTTGACACAAGTCAACTCTCAAAGTGCCCAAAGTGAGAGCTATAGACCAAACGGGACGGTACGGTTTGGCATTCTGTCGGTATTTGGTTAGATTTGTTTCACCGGTCAGCTCTTATTTGCCACCAGAGAAGTCCACTAGGGCCCACGTACCCTTAGACCAAGTTCAAACGTAGATATCAAGATTTAATAAGAAACATCTCATTTACGCCATTCCAGTTTTAAATTCTTATCCTCAACTTGAATTCAAAACAATTCACTAAATCTCAAATGTAAATTGCGCTAAGGCTGGTAAACCCATTCATAAACGGTTTGTTCTAAAATATTCTCAAAATCTAACTCAAGGTTATCTTTTTTCCTTCAGCAAACTAGTTCTGTCAATATTCAAAAATAAAAGGGAAACAAACAACTCTTTTCTCAAAATTCGTATGCCAAAGATATACACTGAAAACGGTACACTACAATATCTATGACTAAAGAACGAGTCAATCAGAGAAAAATAAAATCACTTGGATTCTGGATTAGGCTCTATACGTATGTATGTGGGGGCTCACGAAAATTTAAGTAGTTTCGATAGTAAGGCACAACAATGTTGTCAGATAATATTTTAAGAAGGCCTCGTAAACGCTTGTACTATATTTGATATTCGGTACAAATTTCCAAACGCGTTACAGTCAGAATGTCTTGATGAGGACAAACTTAATGTTAAGAACAGATTTGACGATATTTTGGTGATGGGAATACCATTATGAATCATAAGCTCGTCTGATGAAATGGAAGTCTCAAATGTGGTATTACGAGATATTAAAGCTTAGTACTAATGCGGAAATGAAGGTGAAATTTAAAAAAGCTATCAGCCGTTTTGGCAACAGGCAGAAATATCCGAAAAATATTCTGGGCTGTGGGAAATTGCGAGAAAATTTTTGATAGCGTTACCCCTCCTCGTACCCATTCGAAAAAGATTTAAGAGCTGTTACAAATCTATTACCAGAAAAAAGGAGCTGATTGAACATTGAACATATTAAGGCCGGGAAGATTTGCGCTTATTCCTTACAAAACTGAAGCTAAATATTAATTCTGATTTATTATAATATTTTTTGTACTGTTGATTTGTATTGCGGAAGAAGCTACTTTTACGTTATTAATGTTTAATTTTACTCCTATTAAATTTGAAATCATATTATTTTAATGATGAAAATATTTGTCTTTTTACTTTTACCACTGTGAAAATATGCATCGTTAGCTCTAATCTCACTTCTTGGCGAACTTTTGGAATATGGTAGGAATGTAACACCGAAACCAGCAAAAATGTTTAAGTGGTCTATGAGAAAAGGTTTGGGAACCACTGGCCTACATCAATGTAATGCTAAACCTACGTTTTTTTGCAGCCTGACAACTTGTCGCCTGTACATGAAATGAAATGCTATAGTTAATTTGTGAAATAAATAGTACATACCTAGGTTGAGAAGTGGGCTATTATTGGTCGAGTTCTTTTTACACCACCTGAGGCACGTTATGACAAAGGATAATTATTATAATGTGATATAGTAGCCCAATCTGAGATTTTAACACCAGCGCTGCAGATTGAGATAAGGGGGATATCTTGCAACCTGTTTAATGCCACCACCAGACGTAAGTCCTTTATACAGGCGGCTGGTAGATCAGAATGGTAAAAAAATCGATATTTAGAAATATTCGTGCATGACAGACTTTGCTGACATTAAAAGCAGTTTTCCAGTATTATGTCGTTTGTAGAGGTATTCAGCATAACGAATTCAGCTCAACATCAACCGTTTCTCACTCGTATTCAAATATTTCATCGTATAAAATTTAGTTGACAAATTGACATTATGAAAATGAATAGAATATGCTTTTAACTGACATTCATTATTTACCTAGGTATCTTTTGGTATTATTATTTACCTAAGGACGCTACTTCTCAATGACGCATTGCGGTCAAAATGGTTATTTTTCTTGTTAGTAGTGAAAAAATTTATTTTACCTTATTACGCTAGAAATATTTTGTTGAAATTATCCGACAATTCATTATCTTAATTTATTATCTTAATAAAAATGGCCGAATATGCTGGACGTAATCTGAGAGTTCACGAACGTACGTTTCAGCCAGGCCGAAAGATTCGGCTGATTTATTGCCGAAACAAAAACTTTCACCGAAGCCTCTTTTGTGATCGGAGACGAAACTTCCGTTGATCACCAGTACAGCAGCTGTGTTTATGGTCCTGCCTAAAATAGGCAGGTGTGAAAAAATTATTGGTACCATTAGATTTTTGAATGATAACACCAGTACTGAGCTTCCTATTATAACAATATGAGTATCAGGCTGTCCAAATTATAATAAAATATGGTGCAATATTCTTTAAAATCGACACTTATACTCTCCAACATGGAGCACCAAAAATATAAAATTCAACCATGATACAGAATTCTTGCCAAATCATAGTAGTGTTTGAAAGGTGCATCTATTCACAGAACATAATGAATAAAATTCAAATATGTGACTCGATAATATTAAATGGTATAGAAAAGATTGCCCTGATAGTTTCTGGCTTAACTCGTTAACGTATAAACAGGGGCATATATATAATTTAGGCAAAATATGTATATTGACTATTAATATAAGATGTAAAGTGATTGGTAAAATAGTTTGATTTATATAAAAGCGTCAACGAACCTCCAGTGAATTAAGAAATGCATCTGATGATATATATATTTTATCCCTCGTTAAAGTTATTCAATTTCCTTTTTTTGATCCACATCTTATTTAGAAAATGTATTATTTAGTTATAACCATTTTTTCTTTTACATTGTATATATTACTGTACTTTTGTATAATATGAGCCATATGCAAAGCATAGTTTGTATCAACAGCGTCGCTGTATACATATATTTATATTTTTTCATCTGAAAAATGATTTGTCAAATTGCTATGAAATTGAATGATAATTGAGTTTCCTTTCTAGGTGATTTTGTCATATTATTTTTATACTCTTTTGAGTTTTATATGTTACTGTGATATGTACACATACTGTAAATATATCCGGAATAAAACTTGCACACCATTTTATTTCCTACAAAATTTCCGATTTATATTTTCTCAGCTTGTTTACCAATTTTAAAAGTTACTCAGAGTGGATTTACAACCACATAATCGAGGTTGATAATCTGATCATAAAAATTCCAACTTTAGATATGTTTTTTGGATGTCACAACAATGGATCATGTAGTTTCATCGATCTGGATGTTAGCATTATTAAACACGTCGATGTTGATGAAAATTGGAGAACGATAGCAGTGAAAATAACAAAACAAAATATTTATTCATGTTTCAAAGGCGTAAAGAGAATGTTTATGGTCCGCATCGTGAAATTAGCCCTAGAGGTGCGAACGGCATACAGGCTTATTAGCCTGAAATATTTAAAATATTTATCTACGATCGTCTAATGCATTGATTCCTAAAGTGGTCTATATCGACCCCTAGGGGTCTATGACAACCTGCAAGGGGTCTACATCAGCGAAAAAAAAATTGGGGGTCCATGAAATGAATTTGGGGGTCCACGATAGTGGATCTCAACACATACACTGATAGTACCTATTTACTTACATCATACTATCTTATAATATCAAAACATATACATTATTTATAAAAGTACCTATGAAGTAAAACATTTATTATATATGTTTATAAAATTGTGTAAGTTGTAGGATTTTGGTATACGTTTTGTGGTCGCAATACATTTTGAACTTGTAAAAATCTGAGAGTCGCAGTCTCAGAGCTTCGCTACCTTGTACTGACTTGTTCAATTCGTCACTCTATAAATACGAATGTGGGACAAATACGTTTATTCGTTTCCTGAATCTTGAAAAGGAAAGTGCTAAGAAAATATTTAAAAAAATATAAACAGATAGTAATCACACAAATTATAGAGTCAGTGTAATTTTGTTTGAGAGTGCTGGAGAAAAGTAAGTACATTATTTTTTATTAAATTTTAGTTTTGTACTCGTAGTTAGCAAAGATAGATAAATTACGCCAATCATGACTTTAGTTATTAGTAGTTAAATATTCAATCATGCAAAATTACTCGAGTACTCCTCAATAGTTTCTTTTTGAAAGTTTTAGCAATCGGTAATATAATTACATTGGAATCTCCGTAATTCGAGCTAATTGTTGCAAGAAGATGTTCGAATTATGGAATGTTTTCGGAAAAATCAAAAAATATTTTTAATATACAGCTGCTGGATTTTCTGTCTTATTTAAATAATTTAATTTTGCCCACAGATGACTGATGCCATGTCTGAATCTAAAAAAGAAATGTAGACAGTACAGTGTTGATTATTTGAAATATGGCTTCATTCCATCATTGCCGGACAAACAATCGCCTATGTGCCTTTTATGCAACAAAGTTTTGGGCAATGACGCTATGAAACCATCTAAACTGCAAGATCATCTGAGAAGATGCCACCCTGATAATACAGAGAAAGATTTGAAATACTTTCAAACACTCAAAGATAAATTTCAGAAGAGACCTACACTGGACAGAATGTTCGCTTCGACATCACAAAGAAATGATGATGGTTTGCGGGCGCCTTACAATATCTCGTTACTTATAGCAAAATCTGGAAAACCGCATACTATCGGAGAGAAGTTAATTTCGCCAGCCTTTGAAGAGGTTTTAAAAACTGTTATACACAAACCTGCATCTGATATCATTAAAAGAATTCCCTTAAGCAACAATACTGTTGAAAGACGTATTGATGAAATGAGTTCTGATATTGAAAGCTTCTTATGTAATTATTTGCAAACGACCCATTTCTCTATACAACTGGACGAGTTAACTTTACCTGATAATGCAGCATTATTATTGGCATATGTTCGTTTTATTATGAATCAAGAAATCTACGAAGAACTGCTCTTCGCAAGAACTTTGAGAACCGACACTAAAGGTGGATCAATATTTCATGTTTTGAAGGATTGAAAAAGCAATTCCTTTATCAAATATAATATCAGTAGCTACATATGGAGCACCTGCCATGGTTGGACGTTATCGTGGATGTATAAGCTATTTTAAACAAAATGTGTCAGGGGTGTTAGCAATATTGCGTCATCCATCGACAACATATAGTTGCTAAAAATTTGAGTGTTAGTTTGCATGAATCACTTCATTTAGTCATTGATGCAGTAAACCGAATCCGAAGCAACGCGTTGAATACGCGGTTATTTGCGCAGTTGTGTGAAGAAAATGACGAACACTTTCATCAGTTACTCCTTCACACTGAAGTACGCTGGCTGTCGAAAGGCTTATGTTTGACAAGATTTTTTGCACTTTTTGAGACTATTTTAGAATTTCTGGATACTAAAGATAAAATTTTAAAAGAGAATTTAATGAAGAGGAAAACAGACATCGCCTATTTAACAGATTTGTTTACAAAATTTAATATGGTCAATTTGCAATTACAAGGCGACAGTTTAAATTTGATTAAAACAAAGTCCATCTTATCAGCGTTTCTTGCCAGAGTTAAACTAATGAAGCAAAATATTGGAAGGGGCGAATTTTCTGAGTTCCCCAATTTGTCACAGATAAGCTGCCAGGAAGATGACGTTTCAACTTACGTCCAACATTTAAATGCCCTCTATTCAGATTTTGAATCTAGGTTTGAGGATATTTTGACTATGGTAATACCACCGTGGATAATTAATCCATATGGTGACATAGAAGAAACGAATGTCATAATACAAGAGGAACTGACTGAACTAAGTACAAACGAAGAACTTAAGGTTCAGTTTAAAAACGGATATCAGCAATTCTGGCTGCAAAACAACATACTTGTTACTTATCCCGTATTATGGAATATAGCGAGGAAATTTTTAATTTCCTTCCCATCGTCATACCTAGTGGAAAGGGGGTTCAGCGCTGTTACCAATCTCCTAACGAAAAAAAGAACTGGACATCATTAGCCGAGGAGATTTAAGATTAACCCTTACAAAATTGACGCCAAATGTTGATAATTTATTATTAAAGCATCAGGTTCATCCTTCTCACTAAAAATATTGACTTATTGCTTATGTTATTTTATTTATAGTTTATTTTATGTTTATTGGTGTCTGACCAATAAATGCCCGCATTGGAAATAAGTGCCCGCATTGATTTTTTTAAAGAACCCCCCTTTATAGAAAATATTTTTTTTTAAATTATATTATTCTGAAAATCCAAGGATAGGACACACTAAAATTCTTTAATTTTTTGCCTATTTTTAGATAACTTAAACGTATAAGAAGCGGAATTTAATCAAACTAACAGTGAAATTATTGTAGAACATACGTTTATGTTATAATTAATAAACGAACTCTTATTGTACTATTTTAAGTAAAAAACTTTTTTTTATTATTCTTCATTTTTTTTTATTTTATCCCTCTTATTTTTTTCAATACGGGCACTTATTCCCAATGCGGGCACTTATTGGTCAGACACCTGTTTATTTAATGTTACGTATATGTTACATAACAGATACAAAATTTTATTTTGAGTAGTTTTAATTTAAATTCAATTAATAAATGTATAAATTAACATGTGTTTTTACTTTAAGTTTTTAACACTAAACTTCACTACAGTTAGAAGTGTACAGGAAATCAATATCAGGTAAGTAGGGGGTCTACCCAACTCGGAAAAACATGGCAAGGGGTCTACGACACAAAAAAGTTTGGGGAACTCTGGCTAATGTAAAACATTAGAGCAGCCTTTAGTGATATTATATGGTCGGTGGTTACGTACCTAGTTGTCTAGCAACAAATTACATTTTCGCTCTACCTGAAAAGTGAGACTTAACACATTGTAAATTTTCATATTTATTTTTTGCTAGCTTTTGAGCGTAGAATAACATATTTGAGGAGAAGTTAATAGCGGAGGTGGGATACCTCTAGCGGTGGGTGGGATACATCTAGGGGGGCGTCTCCACGATCCAGGCCTAGCAAGGTAATTTTCGCATCAAGATACAGCAATATGTAAGTACCATTTTATTGAAAAAAGATGGCAGGCTTGGTATTCTAGCGGAGATGCAATGTCCCTTGCCTATTCGAAAAATTAGTATAATTGGTATCACTATACTCATGTAGAAACTTACAAATACTTACAGTCGTCAGCAGTCCAATTTAACATTTTACTAGCGTGCTGTACTTAAAACTCGATCACGTCTCGTCAGATATATAGACCAACAGCAAGAATAAGGGAATCAACTCTATTTTAAAGCCTTAATGGAAATGAATTTCTTTAGCATACCAATAAGGCTTGTTCCCTGAATACAAGTAATTCGAGCCTTTTCTCCTCTTTATGGGAGTGATTATTCTTTTCACGTTGATTAGCTTCTAGGGGACATTAAACATGCTTTTAATGAAATATCTTGGCCTCTTTTCGATCAGAAATAGTATATAGACGCTTTGCTCTTAGATGATGTAATTATAATTTTTTTAATTACCTGATACCCTGGTAATTGGAGAATCTGTCTAGCCAGGTAGGTGCCTTTGAGCACAAAAGAGCTTGGATGCTGTGGCTGAAGGGCCCTGAATGCAGAGCGAAGTCCGACTATTTTGCCGTTGGGGCAGGTGAGGGGAGTTGCTTAGACTTTTACTGTTATATGACATAACACAAACATCATGACATCACGAAAAACCATGTCACTCATTTCTGTCGGTGTCTGCCTGTTGGTCTGTCTGCCCGCCCTTGGCCCGTCTATGAGGAGTGCGGTTCAGATTTTGATAGAATTTTCACACAAGGTTGCTACTATGCTAAGGACGAAAAAACTTTATAGTTTTTGGAAATAGGTCCAGTGGCGGTGGAGAAAATAGCCAAAAACAAAAAAAATATCCAAACTTCGTTTTCAGGGGGCCCTGATCATTTTCAGAAAAAAGTGTTGTAGTGTTTAAAGTTTGAGGGTTGTAGGAGGGGAGGGTAATTATATGCACCTATTAGCCATATGTCACACATAATCGATTTTACCCGTTCATTTGCCCTTAAAAACTGATAGAGAACTGCTTTCGATCCGCGAACTCCGGCTATCCGGCTTACT